CTTCAGGGACCCCTCTCATGAGCATGTGCTCATACAAGAGGCTCAACACCTCTTACAACTAGGAGCAATAGAAGAGGTCCCAGCAGAGCTCAGAGGGAGGGGATTCTACTCCCACTACTTCTTTACCACCAAGAAGTCAGGAGGTTGGAGGCTGATTCTGGATCTTTGAAAACTCAACTGCTTTGTACGTTAACAGTGATTCAAGATGGTAACCCTAGCCACCATCATTCCTGCCTTAGAGAAGGGAGACTGGCTGTCCACCCTTGACCTCCAGGATTCATACTTTCATATAGCCATCCATCCATCCCGCAGACGTTTTCTAACATTCACCATAAAAGATGGACACTTCCAATACAAAGTGCTGCCCTTAGGACTCTCAACAGCTCCAAGAGTCTTTTCAAATGTTCTTGCCGTGGTAGCAGCCCATCTCAGGAAGGGGGGACATAACCATATTCCTGTATCTAGATGATTGCCTACTAAGAGGCCCCGTAGTGGGTGACACACAGAAGGCAATAGAGACCACCAGAAAAGTGTTTGAACCCCTGGGTCTACAGATAAACCAGAAGAAGTGCATCCTCACCTCAACACAGAGTATAGAATTCATAGCGGCGTACCTGGATTGCAGCAAAGTCCTAGCATCGTTACCAGAACACAGATTTTCAGATATCAGGGACCTTGTGACTTTAGTGCAGGCCAGCCCATCTATAATGGCATGGCAGTGTCTACAGCTACTGGGTCACAAGGCAGCAGCCACATTCGGGTACCACATGCCCGACTACATATGGGACCATTACAAGCATGTCTCAGAACAGTATACAGACCCCGCACACACACCACCTGAACAAGCAGCTCTCCATACCAAACAAAATAAAGGTCACACTTACATGGTGGACACTACACCACAATGTGTGCAGCAGGATACCCTTTCAGCAATCACCCGCAACACTAACAATCGCCACAGATGCCTCCCTGATAGGATGGGGAGCTCACCTGGGCAAATGAGTGATACAAGCCCATTGGTGCATGTATGAGGTGGACAAACACATAAACCTCCTCCGAGCTCAGGTCAGGCTGCAAGGCTTGCACCCACTTTCAGCCTGTAATTCAGAACAAAATGGTCCTAATAGTAATGGACAACACCACAATGATGTACTACATCAATCGATAAGGGGGAGCATGATCTTACCAGTTATGTCTGGAAGCAATGAAATTCTGGGAATGGTGCATACCAAGAAACATAACACTGATAGCCACCTACCTTCCAGGCAAGGACAACGTCCTGGCAGACAGTCTCAGGAGAGATTTCTCTCACAACCACGGGTGGGAGATCAACCCCACAATTCTCCATCATATATTTCGGAAATGGGGATCTCCCATGATAGATCTATTTGCCACCAACAAAAACAAGAAGTGCCCATATTATTGCTCCTGAGCGGGCATAGGCCCACAGTCATTGGGGGACCCATTCAGTATAAGGTGGCAAGCACCACTACTATATGCTTTTCCAGTGATCCTGATGATTCAATGCACAATCCTAAAAATAAGATCGTACAAAGCAAAGGTTATATTGGTAGCTCCGAGGTGTCCCAGACAGACTTTGTACCCCTGCCTACTGCAGATGAGTGCCCGACCACCCAATGGTTTCCCACCCCTCCAATCCTTGTTGACACAGCAGAACGGACAGAGACACCACCATGCATTGTTGGTGATTGGCTGATGCCGGTAGAGGCCAACTATCCTGAGGAAGTACAACTAATCCTCATCAACTGCCTCAGGCCTGCAACAAGAAAAACATAGTCAGAAATGACATTGCTTCACACTATGATGCTTAGAACACAACCTCACCCCAACAGAAACTGGGGTCTCAAATGTTCTGGCCTAAGTACTACACCTGCACAAAACAGGACTATCATTGAGCTCAATCAGAGTACATCTTGCTGCCATAGCAGCATTACACCCGCCAATAGAGGGCTACTTGGCCTTCACTCATCTTTCTACCAAAAGATTCCTTTGAGGCCTGCAGAATATGTTTTGACCACAACAGGACCCAATCCTCTCATGAGACCTTAATTTGGTCCTAAGGGCTCTCATGGGCAAACCCTTTGAGCCACTGGCCACTTGTTCCCTTCTACACTTGTCCATTAAAGGTTGCTTTTCTTGTGGCAATTACCACTGCAAGAAGGGTAGGGGAAATAGGGGCACTCATGATGCAACCCCCCTACACGGTATTCCAGAAAGACAGGGTGGTCCTTTGAACGCACCCTAAATTCTTACCAAAAGTACTTACCTCGTTTCATTGCAATGAACTAATATAGTTACCTGCCTTCTTCCCCAAGCCCCACAAGGACAACTGGGAAAGGGCACTGCATACTCAAGATATCCACAGAGCTATAGCCTTCTACTTACAATACACTGAGGCCTTTCACAAATCCCCACAACTCTTTGTGTCAGATGCGGGAAGATCAAGAGTGTTGCTCATATCCAAGCAAAAGCTATCAATTAGCTTACGACATATTTCACAGGATACCACCTGCCAGCATAAGGGCTCACTCTACGAGAGCAATGACAGCTACAACTGCCTTCATCAAAGGGGTACCAATGGAGGACATCTGCAAAGCTGTCACATGGGACTCAGTCCATACATTCATGCAGCATTATGCAATTCAGGTGTTTGCAGATATGGACGCGCATTTTGGGTGAACTGTCCTCGTGGCTACCAAACTAGCACTACTCAAGCACCCACCACCAACCACGGACACTGCTTTGTAGTCACCTAAGGTGGAGCACCCAAGGGGACACTCCTTGAAGAAGGGAAGGTTACTCACCTTCAGCAGTAACTGGAGTTCTTCGAGATAGTTGTCCCTATGAGTGCTTCACCACCCACCTTCCTCCCCTTGGCTTCGGATCCAGTTACATCCAGGCCAGAGAAGGAACTGAGGAAGCAGTTGGCTGCGTGCATGGGATGACTATTCCAACTGTCCTGCACCAGTGCTCCGCATGCACAGCCAACTGGAGGGGCACTGCTGTTAGAAATCTGCCGACCATGAGCACAGCGGCACTGGCGCACCTAAGGTGGAGCATCACCAGGGACACTCCTTGAAGAACTCCAGTTACTGATGAAGGTGAGTAACCTTCCCTTCTGTGTCTTCTATCTGAGAACTATCTAGTGTCCCTGGGTTTGGCCATGGGATCCCCACCTAGGATTCTGTGTAGTTCTTCATAAAACCAGCATGTTTTGGGTGCAGCACTAGACAAGCTGTTTGCCTCCTTTGCCTTCTGGTGCTGTTTGCCTCCTTGATCTTGGCTCTGTATTGCAGGGTGTCTCACTCAGACCTCTTCCCACACAGGGCTCGAGAAATGCAACTATATGTGTCCCAGTTCCCGCAGGTCACTCGTGGCTTTGATTCCACTGATTCTTCACCACTCTCACTTATTAGATCGAAAAGCTCTGCATTCCTCCAAGCAGGAGAGCATTTGGATTGGTAGCTACCACTCTTATTTCCTTGAGAAGATACAATGAGGACCGCCATACAGTGTGCCACAGACACAGGAAATATATTTAAAGTTCCCAGGGTTTCCAGGTGGGAGGGGAGCATCTGCTTACCTGAAAACATTACATGGCTGAAAAGCATTTGAGTTCAAGGTGATGTCCTCAGTGGCTAAATGGGCCATATATAGTGAGATATATGCTGGAGTCCAATAAACTCAAGAATAAACCTATCTAGTACGCACGGCTTGATTTGTCTCTCTGTAGTCGACAAAGTCCCTCATGGGGCTGGAAGTGTTTTGTTGCCAAAAATGGCTGTTTGTTGCATTGTAATATGAATGCGAAGAGGTTTTTGTTGTGAACCTGTTTTTTGGTGGCAAAACGTTTGAGTCTAGACAAGCCATTAGTCTGAACAAGGTAGTTATATCAATCTAACCCCTCATGCAGACCATGCCATATTAATCATGAAGTTGTGATTTCTAAGAAAAAAAAATCCTGACATTTGAGAGTTCTATCACCAGATCATCAGTCAAGATTAATTTTAGTTCTCATTTGTTGTGGTGGCTAGACGTATGGCACAGGGACCCAAGTGAGGCGGGTATAGTGGCTATCGTGATGGTGGATTTTGAGCAGATGGGGTGTGTGCTGGGAGGGTGACCTGTTGGTTGTGTGGATTGATGAGGTCTGGGGATGAATTAATGGGATGGTGATACTGAGGGTGTGCTGAATTGAGAGGGGGTAGAATGGAGACAGAACTGATGGGTGACTGGAAGACAGGATTTATTGCTGGATAGAAGATGGTCAGATGTGAGCGTGAGAGTTTCTGCATCAAAGGACCAAAATTACCTTATCCAGAACATGTAGTGGGAACACTAATTGTCAACCCCACACATCTTGGCTATGGGCAGCAGAAATTCAAAAATCAAGAGGCTGAGCTAAGAAACACAATATAATATTTAAAAACAAATATTCATTTATGGGTCAGTCATGATTTTGGGGGGGGAATAGTGATTTTTTATCTCTCTAAGTTGGTGGTATAGCAGGGAGGGATTCTTTCATCAATATTGCTACTGCCACTTGTGGAGGTGGTCTATTGAGAAGTTCTCCTCTAGGCATAGGCAGTATCTTAATTTAAATGCTAATCTAGTTTCATTATTCAAACTGAGTGAAATTCAAAAAGATAAACAGCATAAATATTACATTTTAAAAGTTCAGTTTTAACTATGGTTTAACAGAAGGAGTAGGTTTTTTTGATCTGACCATGCCTTTTTAATAGAATAGTCATCTTACATTCTAAAGAGAGATTTCTCTGCATAGTGGGAGGGAATAGTGACAAAAAGGAAATACAAGTTCACCCCTCTGCCCCTTCCAAAAATAATACAGCCTTTGGTGGAAAATGTATGGAAACTGATCATAGGGGTGAAGTTGGATTTCACAGAATTACCTTGCATGACTTGAGGTAGTCACATTTGGCGCTGTAGATATAAACAGTGATCCATTCTTTGTTTTGTAGGCATCCGTGTGTGGTGATGGATTAAATAGCTGGTATAACTCTTACACTGTAAGTCTCTAATTAGCTTCTTTTCTGAAAACAGTTACTAATCTAAAGATTATTGAAAATTGTAAAAGCTTTCTTCTCCCTCATAACTTCTGTCTCTAGCCATCTGAATATACTTATTCTTCAAGAGCAAGTTCAGCTCGAAGTAGTCCTGTGGTGAGCCCTCTTGCATGACTTTGTGGTGATTTTTTTCTTTAACTAGTTCACAATAATCAGTGTGTGCATTTGCACTGTAAATGAGTCGAATGACAAATACATAACCTATAGATTTTTATTTTAGAAATTAATTTAAATGAGCTACATTTTTATAAAAAATGGGAATATTTGATCAAACAGTTCAAGTATAGGAGTTGCTGTATGAAGTTTTACTTTTAAAAAAGGTTTAAAGTTGAAAATGAGTTAAATTTTTTTTAAATCTTGAAAAAGAAAACACACACACACACACAGAGAGAGAGAGAGAGAGACAGGACTTCATTACTGTTGTTAAGTATGACTTCAAAAAAGTTCAGCTAGAAAGAAAACCCTTGTACCAAAGATAAACATTAGCATCATCGCTGGAGCTGGGGAGTGACCGAATCATTACATTTGTACTGAAAGGGACATTTCCTAAGCAAGAGAGCTGTGATGTGGATTCATGCCTGCATAGTGACCGAAATAGGTATCCCATTTCTCTGAATAACCCATTTGAGTTTGAGAGAGAGTTCTTAGACATCGGAAAGGAAATAGGCTAATGAAGTCTGACAGTTGCAGGTGAATTGGTATCTGCATTCTACATTGTGATTCAACTTATACAGCCGGTCCTTGAGTTATGAACTCATCAATTTATGACCATTTGTATTTACAATCAACCTCCTTTACAGCCAGAACCTGAGTTATGAACGAAATCCGCACTTACGAACAGCGCGGCTGTATGTCAGTGAATGTAATCCGACTTATGAACACAATGAGTTACAACCAAGTGCTTGGAATGTAACTTGTTCATAAGTCAGGAACCGGCTGTATAAAAATAAGTTAACCAATGGCATGTTAAATTCTTATGCAAAATTATGATCAGTAAACTTTCAAGAGTAAAACCAAAAGCAGAGTTCAGGTAATGGTTTGACATATGTGGGGAACCTCTGTCCTGTGGGCTGGATCTGGCCCATTGCTTAAATTTTATCTGGCTTATGGCTAATCTCACGTCCCGGAGGCCTTAATGTGCAACAGAGATCAAAGAAACTCTTTGTGTTGCCTCTGCCTCCCAACACTGGGAGCCTGCCTTAGACATAGTGCACTGCTGACCAGGAATGGTCTCCAAGCATAGCCAGGCCAGAGCCCACACATGAAAACTTCTGCTTTTGGTTGGAACTCCCTCCCATATCCCAACTTCCTCCCAGAGTTTGTACCCTCACTCTAAATCCATGCCCCAGAATGGAACTCCCTTTCAGATTCCACATCTGCACCCCAACCCTCTGCCCCATTTGTGAGCCTACTTCCACATCCCAAGCCCCTTGGCCCCAGCTCAGAGCCTCCTTCTACAGCTCAAATCCCTTGTTCCCACATCAGAGACCATGCCCCCATCTGGAGCCCTCACCCTCTCCTGCGTCCCAGCCTGGAGCCTCTTCTTGCAACCCGAACCCTTCAGTTGTCATCTCTCCCAGAGCCTCTGCCCTTCTCCTCCTTCCCCCAGAGCTGGAGCAATGAGCACTGACTCATCTCCTCCCTCCCCCCCATGGTAAGAAGCCCTAAGCCTCTCCCCTCCCCTGGTGCGGGGCTGCATATTGGCCCACAGTTTATTCCCCCCCCCTTTGGTTTAGTGACCCCGATAGAAAAAAGGTCTCTTTAACCCCACCGCCTCTGGTTTATGGCATACAGACTCAGGCTTATTGATTTGGTTTTCTTTGAGTGTTTTTCTAAATGTTAATTGCGTTCTCTTTTATTTGAACATGCCTCCCGCCCCTCCCAATTGTCCATTTAAAACAGCAGTAACGGACCCTTCTCCCAAGTGTGTCTCTGGCTAGCAAAACTTCCAGTTCCTGGCAAAGCAGTCCCAATGGTGCAAGTCAAAAGTGACCTGTAAAGGACTGTGTAAGGGGGAAAGAATTTATATCCTTGTGTTTTTTACAATATATGAAGGTAGAGGTTTGGTTTGGATTTTTAAGAAGTTATTTTTTTCTGTTTGCTTTTTAAGTTAGAAGAATCAAATTTCACTTTGGTGAAGGACTTGGTAGGGTGACCAGACAGCAAATGTGAAAAATTGGGACAGGAGTTTAAATGTAATAAGAGCCTTCATAGTACAAAGCCCCAAATATTGGGATTGTCCCTCTAAAATCAGGACATTGGTCACCCTAGACTTGCTGTTGTTTCCAACATGTGTTTATTGTGATGATGCTCTTACCAGCCATCGTAGATTATTCCATGGTCAACAAGATCTACCTTTCTATTTTTCAAATGAATAAAAGGGAAAAAAATGTGTCCCTGGTTATATATCACAGGAAAGCAAAAAGGCATTAAGCTGAATTATTTTCTTCAGATCATCATTAAGATTGAGACATCCATTTTAGCTCTCATTGTCTGCTTCATGTAGCCCATTATGTTTAATATTGAGAGGACAATATATTTATTAAATACTTACTAGTATTTTTTTGCATCCATTGATTTTGTTCTTTTTGAGAATTATTTGTTAGCTGAATGTAGAGTACATATGTAATAGTCCAACCTTTTGCCTTTTTTCAAAAATTTGTCTTGTTTAGCAGTTTTATCTGCCTGACTACAAGTCTTTCACTTCTCAGTCCATAGTTTAACTTTCATTTTGTCTTATTTTCAGATTTTGCTGTCTTTTAATGGTTGCAAACATAATTTCTTTACATTTGTACTTTATGTTGTGTGTGTGTGTGTGTGTGTGTGTGCGCGCGCGTGCACCTCATTAACTGACATTCCATGAATTACTAATTTCAAAATGAAGATTGGACTGCAGTCAACCAGCTGTAAATATATGCATATCAATCTTTGTAGTTTACAGACAGTGAAACAGGGAGTACCACATCCTCTAATCGTGCCATCCGAGGGAGGAGTGATAGCATGGTGAGCAGGGTTGTATGCAATTGTCTGATGTTATTGTTGATATCTTAACTTTTTAAAGACCCTAATTGCTTTTTTTTTTTTTTACTATAGTATGTTCTGTTCAACTGATACAAAGTGCTGCTTGTGAGGGAAGAAGAACTTAGAACTTTTGTGTGCCCATTGGCCTGAGTTGCATTTTCATGGAATTCATTATTACTTAAGCAGAGTTGTATAGCATTTCTATATGTTTTATAATGCAGCTCAAATAAGAAAGCTGGCCTTACTTTTACTCTGTTTTTGAATTACTTTATTTTGAGCTAAAATCTTCAATTTAAAAAAATGTAATTGTAAACAAATTTTTTAAAGAAATTTAATGATAGTTACTTACACTTGAAGTTGCCAAACATTACTTCCCATTATAAGACTCTCTTTCTGTTGCTTATAACTTTGCCAAATTGTAACTTATTAGGCTGAATTTTTCCATGCCAAATGACCTGCCTCTGGCTGAATATCTTTTGGAAAATTTGAGCCAACCTGGTTCAGCTGTTTCACAGAATGAAGTTAAAGAAAAAATATCATTTTGCCAGCTTACAAAAATACAAGTTTATTGAGAATCTCTAGAACCTCCATGTTTTGGAGATGGGATTTGATTTGTCAGGGGATGGCTTTTATAACAGCAACACCATCAAAATTTGGCCAAATGATAATCCTGTGGAAAAATCTCTGTTCATGCATGCTCAGTAGAGACTTGTTAAAATTAAGCAGCTAAATTCTCAGAGGAATCTATGTGTACTAAGCATACTATAGTCCAGGTCTTCAGGGAATGAGCAGGATTTTGTCTATCTCTGTTGCCCATGGCTGTTGTGATCTGCTGTGATGTAGGAAGAGAGAGCCTCTCTCCTCTTTCAGCGATAAAGCTTCTAAACTCATGCAGCATGACGGACAAAGTGAATCAACTTGAATATGGTGAGAGGACATGAATGTGAGCCATATCAGGGGAGAGAGAATACATTGTGGTAGTGAACCTCAGTGTGGGACAGGACAAGTTTAAGAGTCTATAAACTGCAAGCGTGCAAGTATTGGGGTGATTTTTGAAATAGAGATGTAAGTGACTAGTTGACTATCCAATAAGCAAATGCTTATCAGATAGTCAGGTAGCGACTCAACTAGTTGCTTTCCCACCCCCCTGCTGCCTCTGTCAGAGAGAGGCGGGGAGGGGGGTAAAATAGGAGCCAGTGCTGCGGGGAACCAGCTTTAAGCCAGTTACCCAGCAATATCTCCACGGGAGGGCAAGGAAGTCAGAGGCACAGTGGGGAAATGGCATGAGCAGGCACTACTTCAGTCCCCGCTCGTGCCAGTTCCCACTAAGGGTGCTTCTGCTATTGAGCCCTCTGGGGCTCTTGTACATTTCAAAAACAGAAGTGCTGCAGGGAGCATGGGCCTCCCAGGGACAGCTGCTGGTGAGCCTGGTGTCCATCCCATTTGGCAGGGCAGCAGGTGGTAGTTTTGCTAGAAGAGCTGCCAGTGTGGAATGCTGGCTTCTGGGAACCTTGGCCCAACTGCTGCTTTTTGCCACTGCAGTTCCCAGTAGAGCCCTGCAGCTCCACAGATATGGATATATATCTACAAAGTATTTGCATCTGTATATATAATCTCCGCATCCATGTAAGGGTCTAGCCACAACATTGTAATATGGATAACTATTAACTTTTTTTTATTACATAGATTGCTCTGTAACAGTAGCTTTTATTTTTCCAGGTAGTTTTCTACTTTAATGATCAATTTTCTGAACTGTACTTGTGATTAGAGAGCTTGCTCTTTACTGTTATGAAACTATTTTTTGAGTGTAATAGAGAAAATGATCTCTCATATTGTTAAATTGCTACAGTCATTCGTTACCCATTGCATCTGGCACAATGTTGGTGCCAAAACCCAGTTTACATTAATCCAAATGGGAAAGTCATAAATACTAATTGTGGAATATAGAAGTACCCTTAGAAATGTTGCAAATCATAATTTCACAATACAATGAAACTGATGAAAAGTCACCGGGAAAGAAATAGTAAATCTGAGATGGATTCTTGACAAAAATGTTATTGGTATTGTATACTTGTAACCAATAAACATGTGTATGTCTTTAAATTATAATATGTATGTAATTTTAAAATAGAGGAGGAATTGTATCATTAAATTTTAGAAATGCCAAGAACAAATTGTGTTAGTTGATATATTTAACTTACATTAAAATGTCTTCAATTCTACTCTTCATTCATCTTTTCTTTTCTTTTCTTTTCTTTTTTTTCTTTAATCTGGCTTCTAAGTCAACTGATTTTTCTGATCAAAGTGAAACTGCAGCTGATTATTTTAGTCGTTCCAATCGCAGGGGGAGCATTGTTTCTGATGTGGATGATGTCAGTATCCCAGATGTAAATAGTGTGAGTGTAATGCATGTTATGATATTGTAGTGAATACAATGAGCTTACTGGTGATGAGTTCTCTTCCTTGAGTGAGAGTAAATTCCTGAAAAAACAAAAAACCTCAGAACAATGGAATCTACACAATAGTGAATGAGTTTTGTTGCTGGTTTTTCAACTGCCAAGTTTTCTTAGAAAATAACAGAATGCTTACCGAACAAAAGACATATCTTTTGTCTCTTGGAATGCTGCTACTTTAATACCATTCAAAAATTATTTTGGTATTGCCTGAGATACACATTCATTTATAATAATCTAATTGTGTTATGTATAATGCATAATCATGTACTAATTTGTAACACTTTCTGCATGGATTTGTCTGAATGCTGTGCATACTCTAAGAAGAGCTCTTTGTAAACTTGAAATCTCGTTTCTTTTATCCACAGAAGTTGGTTCAGTAAAAGTCATTACCCTAATGACCTTGTGTTTCCCATATTCTGGGACCAGCATGGCAACAGCAACCCTGCATGCTATAAATACATGAGAAATTACAATGTCTGGGTGTCCTTTATAAAATAAAGCTAAACAACTTTTGAGAGCGAACTCTGATTTTAGTCTGAAATAAAAAGTGACTGTGCAAAACTGGTATTCTCTTGCTCCATAAATCCTATTCCTTGAGTATTGTAGTGTCTGTTGCATTAGTAATCACAAAGAAAAACAGAAATTTTGGGATTCTGGTAGCCATGCCATGGTTGCACAGCTATGGGAGTATCAGCTGAATTCTATTCTTTTTCATGCATTGACAGATAAACATTCTACCATCAAAAACAGCAAGCAAATGATCTGGTAGCACTTCTTTACATGACCCACAAAAGCTCATGATACCATCTACATGTTGTGTTAGTCTATAAAGTGCTACCAGACCATTTGCTTGCTGTTTTTTTCTGTAACAGACTAACTCAGCTACCCCCTGAAGCTTCATTCTACCATCAGTTACTCCTCTTTAAGTGAATGAAGACTTGAGTAAAAAATATTTTACTGATGTTAAAAATTAGTGATGTTAAAATGCATTTAGTCCGGTAGGTGTGTAACTGCTGAAAATTTCAGTGGTTACATGTTTACACCCGGGGGGAGCTCCCTGGAGCTGGTGTGGGTGTAAGCTGGCTCCACACGCACACTGGCTCCTGCCTTTACCCCCCCTCCTCCGTGCTGCTGCCTCTGATAGCAGAGGAGTAGGGGTAGGGCTGCTTGCAGCCATGAAGGTTAGCAGACAATCGTTTACATTATCACATCCTTACTAAAAATCTCTCCCTTTTCTGGTAAACTGGCCAAATCATTCAGACACAATAAAAATCTAGGCCCCCAATACCAGTTTTACAATAGCTTGTAAGAATAAAACTGTATTTAAAGCTAATGATATTTTTTTTCTATTCGGACAAAAAACAATAGCGCAATATTATTATAGTCACCACCATGTATGTTATTCACTGTAACACTATGTTCAGAACATGAATAGTTGTCCGCAGCAGTGTGTATTCTGTTTTAAATTGAAATTTAAGCTAGTAATTTTTCCAGCATCTCTGCTATGAGGAAGTGACAATGTGGTGAGAATGGTTAATAGCATTATTTTGTCGTTTATTAGAATTGGTGTTGTATGAATGGAATCTTAATTTTTATTGCAACCATAAAACCAAGATTTATGTAATTAAAATTTTCTTATTGATAACTCTTTTGGGAAGATTGGGTTCAAACAGCGTAATGCAGGTCCACAGTTGATCTTAGGAAAAGAAAGTTGAAAGTTGCAACTCTGAGAGTTAACAGTAGAGTTTCTTAACAATAGTTGTCTGCTTTACGTAGTAAAATGCTGCAGTGGCAGATCTAAAAATGGGGGGGGGAGTGAGATATGGAGAACTGATGTCTTCAATAATGTACGCACATTGCTTTTGCTGTGATACCAAATTCTAACGGCTTCTCCATTAGTTTAGGGCAAAAAGAGTTAGATATTTGTCTTGAAGACAATGGATAAAGTACTTTGGGGAAGCTTCTTATCCTAAGCATTTTATCCTTATTAAAAATGCTTAGATTTGTAATGTCTTAGGCTTACACTTAATTTGGATTTTTGACTGAAAAAATGTTGATATAAGTTTCTGAATAATAAAATTAACATATGCATACAAAAGGTCAGTAAATCTAGACTGTATATTTCTGGTCAAGTTTCATAAGTTAAAATATTGTCTGAAATGAGTAGTAAGCTATTGGAAATAGTTAAGCCTCTTTTTGTGCCTTCTTAAACCTCGGTTTTTAATGTCGTGATGTGACTGTTGTTGTTTTTGCCAAATAGTGGTGTATTGTGATGTGGACATATGTTTTTATGGTGACTACATTAAGACACTCAAACTAATTTCACTTGCGATCTAAACCAGACTTCTAAAAGAGTTGCTAACCATTTTTTGTAATCCCGTGGATTATGTTCACTTTATTTTGGTTAGTGAACACAAAGATGTTACAGCTGTTCTGAGTCAAAAAATGAATAATTATAATCACTTCTCTTCCAGCTGGAAAAAGAAAATAAGTCTGAAAAACAGTATTCTGAAATTTACACAAGGGTAAGTTTGGTTTATATTAAAGTCAATATTTGGTTTATGATTTAAAGTCAATTTTCTTCTTTAATTATAGTCAATATGGAAATAGCCCCAAAAGTTTATATGCCACTTGTTTTAGTAGTGTTTGTATCCTAATACTTCACACTGTTAAACTGCAAAATAATATTTGTAACGTTCTGTGCAAAGTCAAGCTAACATTCCTCTTCCTGTTCCTTTATTTCCCATAGGAAGAGGGAATATCTTTTAAAGGGAATGTCTGTTTTTATACAGTTCACTTCCATATATTAGGCAATGTTCAACGGAGATTGAATTTTAAGGGAACGTGACTGGAAAAACTCAATTTAGGCTCATTGGTTGATCCTGTCGACTACACGCATTCCCCCTCTCCCCCACTGCCTCTGATACAGGCTTAAAAGCCAGCTCCCCACGAGCATCAGATCAGCCTGATAGAGAGCCAGAAGTGCGGCTGGTAAGGGGGTAGGCTGGAGCAGATACGCACAGGGAACTGGCTTTCAAGCAGGCCCCCTCGCAAGCTGGCTCCATGGACCTGCCAGCTCCTCCCCTTCCTCCCTGCTGCCTCCTACAGAGGCAGGAAGGGTTGGGGAAACACTTACTGGTGCTGAGGGATGGTAGAGAGGCTGCAGTGAAGTAGTCTCTGTCCATGTCAGGACTGAGCTCCTTGTGGACAGAGGCTGCTCCGCATCCCATGGAGCTGCTCCATGGTAGCAGCCTCTGTCTGCGGGGAGCTCGGAGCCCCCCAGACAGGGGTTGCTGCCATTTTGCGCTGCTACTCTGTATCAGAGGCAGGAACACAGGGCGGCAGGCAGCCAATCTGGAGGAGGGGCTAGTTTTTAAGATGGCTTCCCTGGTGAACCAGCTCCTGCCTGCCACCCCATGCTGCTACGTCTGATAGAGAAGCAGTAGCATGGGGTAGCAGGGGCCTCCCTGTGATGTGGAGTCAGAGTGCACTGGTTGCTGGCCCCGCCCCTGGGGACTATCAAATAGTCATGTAATCACTAAGATTTCATGCGGTTACATGACTATACAATTACACAACATCTAATATCCCTAGTGGAAACTTTGAGATTGCTCCAGGAGTACAAGTCTACTAGCAAGATGTACCTAAGCATAGAACTTCAGATTTCTATAGGCTATAAATAAAATTATAATTGACTAGAGGGCTGTACCCACTGCTCACTACATTCACCAACCCACCCATTCTCTAGCCACTTTCGCTTTCGTGGCCAGAGAGCCTGATGACATCATTCTGTCACGCAGCAGGAAAAACTTTTTATATAGAGAGATAGAAGCCGCTTACTTGAGTGTGTGTTTTTTTTTTTTAACCTCCCTATCACATCACCTCAACCAAAGCGTGTTGTAAATTTTTCATCAGCAAAAGTGATCCTTCATCATAGCATGAATATGGAGCCAGCAGACCAGGTATAAACTGGATCAGGATGGGCAATAGCTGGCCATGGTTTGCCAAGGTTAGCCTCTGGTGGGCTGCCGGTGCTATGTTTACCTGCACAGTCAGAGGTAGAATCGCTTGCAGCTGCCCTTGGCTGTGGATCACAAACTGGGATAGGTGCGGGCCACTTATTGCCCACCCTTGAACTAGATTCTGGAAATTAACCTTGGTCAAAAGTATAATGATGAAGAAACCTGAACTTGAAGTCAAGTGAAAAGCAAAGGAGTTTTTAACTGTATGTTATCAGTGCTGTTTTTAATTTTCAAGTAATTGATTATGAAAAATATGAGCTATATTGCAAAGTGGGAGGCTACTACCTCAGAAGAGATCTCAGTATGAATCTTAATACTGTTGATTCTTTTTTTTAAAGCCGTTATCGCGCAATTCAGCAAGTACAACTCCTCTGAGTGGGAATTCATCCAGACGAGGAAGTGGGGATACGAGCAGTTTGGTGGATCCTGACGTTTCATTAAGTGATTTACGGGTAAACTGTTATACTGATTTGAAAATGCAGGAGGATTGATGGGGCAGTAGAGAGAGAGAGAGAGATGGAATTTCTACCTATTTGCTTTAGTAAAATAAAAAGTAAATTACAATTGTAATGATGGTGTGGAAAATAGATGCATGTTATATCAATGGTACTGCTTCTATGTGTAAATGTGGCACTGAAAGTTGAGTACTGAAATCAAATTTATTTTAATAACATTAGAAATCATTGATTTGATTTAAGAAATGGGACTGAGTAGTTTTTAATACTAGTGGTTTTCAGATAATGATTCCAAAACAAAATAGGTTTTTTTTCAATTTTTGGTGGTTGTTTTTAATTTGTGTGTCAAATATGTTTTGTATATTTTATTTCACACTTTTTGACATTTGAGTGAAAGATATACAAACATGAAGTCCTGTTTTATTCACAAATTTTTCAGTTGTAAACTATTTCCCCTCTTTTATGAAATGGTTCATTCCTATGTCCTGCAGGATATCTATGATCTTAAGGACCAGATACAAGATGTAGAGGGGAGATACATGCAGGGACTTAAAGAACTAAAGGTATAAGGGCTCACCATTCCAAGCATGCATTCTGTATGGACATATGTTGGTAATGGAGATTTTATCAGTTCCACTAACTGCACATAGCTTTACTAACTAGATTTTTTTATATTTAGCTTTGAAGCATGTGCTTAGACTGCAATACATAGGATAGATCAGAATTTTTTGTATGTGAATCACTAAAATATATTCTTTCCCAGTTTGAAAGTTATTTGTCTCGCATTAAAATAGCATTAGGCATTCACAGTGTTCATATCAAGTGCAAATTGAAAACTAATATATGGTTTAATATTTTAATACTCTGTAAATACACATTAAGTGTTCGTGCAATGTATTTAAAAGACAAGAAATGGGATATAATTCTGACAAACAAAATAATTTCACCAACAGAATAGGAATTAAATTTATAAATTTCTGAAAATGTAGTTTAAAAAATCCAAAAATATTTAAAAAATAAATTGTCATGTGTATTAGATATGGGAATAGATGTAGCTTTTATGGCCTATTGATAGACTAATATCAAATGAGAGGGGAGATTTTTTTTTAATATTTATTGTTTGTACTCTGGCCATCTTTTTCTGCATATACACTGTTAACTGTTGTCATAGTTAACAATATTTTGCTTTATATTTAAAGTTCACTTACTTTCTTATTTGGTTTACTTATTGGTATTCTTATCTTGGTTTTCTGTCCAACTAATTCATTTAAAATTAACTTATAATTAACTTACATTCTCAAGTCCCCCTTCCTTTCTCGACTGTGCTCAAAAGAAACGATGCAAAGGAGAATCTAATCTGCCCTTTTCAGCATGTTCTTATTCAGATGCCTGTATTTAAATAGTTATATTTAAATATGAAGAGCTCTTAATTTTAATTATTTCTATGCTGCACACATTTGCACCCATTGAAGATGCTCTTAATGATAAAGTGGAATTCTAACCTCACGTAAATCACATCTGACAGTGATTTTGTTTTGTTTAGTAGCCTTCCTGAGGAGGGATTTATAGAGAATATATAATATATTCTGATAAATGGGAAGTCATAGGTTTTAAAATCAGCATTTCATTAGTCTGTGCTAGTCCATCTCTCGTTCGGAGAAAGTGAATAAACTATCCAAAACAGCTGGTTTGAGGTTATGATGAAGTACATAATTTGTACCTCCTTGATATCAGTGTATTCATGGGCCTCATAAAAAAATGATCAGAATACTTTTTTTTTTTCCTGTAGCCTTCTGAATCTTTGATGCAATTATGACTTTCCTTAATAGGGTCAGAGCTGGCAGATATCTAAGAACTCGTATTACTTAGATGCAGATCAAAAGTTCTATAATTACTATATCTGCAGGTTAAAATGTAAATATGGAATTCTTATTTAACTGTCAAAACAACCATTTAAAAAAGTCCTGTTTTCGTGATATTATCCATAAGCCTTTATCATTTAACAACTTGAAAGAAATACCTTTTTTGTTAACTGTGCATTGTGCCTGATAGAGTATTTTCAACATGGGTTTAACACTAATAAACATGAAGTTCCTTTATATATAGTTGTATACAGCTTTTCTTTATATTCTAATTGTTTTTTGTTTGTCCCACCCTGACTTTAATATGTGGTTAACTGATTGCTATTTCCCAGGGTATGGAGCAGTGATAAGCAACTTAGGCAAGTGAGTGGGCCACATGAGTGGCTCTCCATAGGTGTGTCTAGACTACATTGGGTTTTTTTGGGGGGGGAGGGGGGAACTGCCCTTTTTTCTAGAGAACTTCACCTGCGTCCACATTGCAATTGTGTTCTTTTGAAATTAAATCGAAAGAACGCAGGGTTTTTTTTTACATTGGTAAACCTCAAATTATGAGGAAGAATGCCTTTTTCAAAAGAGCTCTTTTGAAAAAAGACGTGTGTGGATGCAGAACAGGGACATTTTTCGAAAGACGAGGAAATCGAAAAAAGCACGGGTGCCCATTCTGTGAATAGCAATCAGGGCCTTCTTTTGAGAGAGCATCCATGCAGTCTGGACGCTCTCTTTCGAAAAAGCAAATAACTTTTTTTATCCCGTTTTGAGGTATGGATGCTCTCTTTCGAAAGAAGCTTGCAGTCTAGATGTACCCCATCTCCATGGCCTGCAAAATGGTCATAACCGAGACAGTCTCCGAGGACAGGATAATTTTGCTAACTGTGCTTGTGTACCTAGAATTTGTGGGATGTGCCAATAGAACTGTAGCAGCTCTTTGATTGGGTGCAGAGGGAGTGCATGGCTCCAATATTGCATGCAACCACCACGCACCTAACTTTACACACCCTTGCTTTACATCAGCCCAATGCAAAATACAGCCCTTGGGCCAGATCCAATCCACTAAGCCACTGGATCTGGCCTGTAGATGCAGCAGGGAGCCCCAGGCAGGCTCCCATGCTTGCCCTGCACACTGCTCAGAAAAGCGGCTGTGGGACTGTTTCTCTTTAAAAACTGTGAGCCTGGAGGCGAGGAGGTAAGCTTCAGGTGTAACTCTCGCCCCAGCACAATCCCATTGGCCAGCGTTTGGCCAGAAACTGTCTAATAGGAGCTTCCTGTTTGAATAACAGGCGGCACATGAAGCACCACACCCCCTTCCCCACTGGCTCATTTATTCACACAAAAATTCTCTTTCATTTCATGCTTTTAGGTGATTAATTTAGTTAATCATGTCAGATCTTATCAGTTTTGTAATTTTACTGAATTCCTAAGAAAATCTACACATGCAAACACTGAACAAATGTTGTGGCTGTTACATAAACTGACACAAAAAAAAATGCATATTTAGGGAGGAAATAGTTTCTACATTTTCCAGAGTTAGGCCTAGTTCCAGAAGTGGCACTGGTGAAAAAGTTACTCTGTAATTTGTTGCATAAATTTGTAATGGTTTTGCACTGCAACTAACACTATAAACTAGCTAATATAAACTTCTTAAAATTTAATTTATATCCCTAAAGAAAGGCCACAAACAGTACTTAGTAAATGTTGGTATGTTTTTAGTTCAAAGCAAATACAGGCTCTTTAGTATTACGTGCACATGTAGCATTTACACAATGCAGAAGACAGTAAGATTAATACTGTTTCTATCATCTGTACAGGATTCACTAGCTGAAGTTGAAGAGAAGTATAAAAAAGCTATGTTTTCCAATGCTCAGCTGGATAATGAGAAAAACAATTTGATTTATCAAGTGGATACGCTAAAGGATATTATTGAGGAAAGGGAAGAACAGATGGCAGAGTACTACAGGGAAAATGAAGAAAAGTCAAAGGTATTGATATTTTATGTATTAAGCTATATTATAAAACCCAGATGTTTTTAGTGAGAATAGAGCCTTATGGTCAGTAGCTACCTTGAATATTGAGATCATCTTTAAGCAGATATGGCAGAGAAGAAAAATATTAAGATATGGAATATTATGTTGAAGTGTGTGTATATTGAGGGAGGGAATCCATTATTTTGACATTCACTTAGAGTTCTCCTTTCCACAAAGGTCCAGCCTCCAAATTTTTCAAAAGTAGCTAGAAAGTTTAATACAAAAAAGCATTGTCCAAATTCAGTAATCTATTTGGCTTCTCACCTACTTTTTTGGTAGGTTGTCTACAAGGTCATATTAAAAAAGGGGCTTTAGGAGCTACAGTTGAGACTCCTAGACTACGGATGGCCCTGCAAAAAGATTACTGGCCCACCAAAGTAGATCTTTTTGTGGGGCACCCTTAGCCCATGATCTGGGGCTTTAGCCACTAAAACTCCTGTGTTCTGGTCTCTGGTGGCGGAAGGGTCACTACTTCATGCACTGCCATTCTCCCTCCCCACACCACTGCACCCAGGCTAGAGCTGTGAGTTCTTCCATCCATGAGCTTCCTTCGCTTGCAGGCTCCATCCCCATATCTCCTTTTGGCCAGGAATCACGGCCTGTAGGATGGTCCCTGCAGGCAAGCTCAGTGCTGCCCTTTACAGAGCTACCTCCCAACACTTATACCACCATAGAGGAGCTCTGCACCCAAACCCACTACACTAGTCTTGAGCTCCATCCTGCATCCTACCTTCTGCTCAGACCCTGAGATCCTTCCCTGACCCCCACCTTCTAGCCTCATTCCTGTCCAGATACTACACCCTCACTCCAGCTTTCTGCCCTGAGCCCCTTCAGCACTCAAAGCCCCTTGGTTCCAATCTGGAGCCCAGTCCTGCATCTCACATGCTCCAACCCAAAGACTGTGCCCCCCCCCCCCCCCCAGTCAGAGCCCTCCCCCTCTGGCTCAAGCCGTATTACCTCCAGCACTCAGCATCACCTCAAAGCTTAAGGGGCCCCATAAAATCTAATGGCCCTAGGATCCCAGATGAATTAATCCAGCCCCTTGTTGCCTACTGTCTCAACTAGTAGGTTTAGTCATCTACCTACTTAGTGTCTGGAAAACTATTCAAACCCTGAACATGTAAATTCCTACTGGTAAGGCATCTGAACTGCAGCAGGAAATCATTACTAAGACTTCTGTTTACGGATGATCACAATATGTTTGTTTTAATTTTATATTGAAAATGTGTGTGTCAAACTGTCAATAAAGCGTGATCTGCTTAACTGATATTTGCTGAATATAGGAATTGGAAAGGCAGAAACATACGTGCAGTGTTCTACAGCATAAGATGGATGAACTTAAAGAGGGCCTTCGTCAGAGAGATGAACTAATAGAGGTTTGTACACATTTAATATCATACGGCTGTACTTAAGGACAGGGTTTGACCACCGGCGGCAAAAACCGCTCGCCAGCCCCATACTATGCATGCACAAGAACCGCATTGCGCATGCACGCGCCGCAAATGATCAGGGTGCATGGCTGAAATATACTTGCCATAGGCGAGTAGATTGTATAGTTGGTTGAGCCCTGCTTATGGAAATATATGAGGGCTTTTGTTCTGCTTGATAGACTATATCAAGTTTGGATATGTACATATTTCCCCTAGACAGACTAGACAGAAATACCAGCTTATATTTCTTGAGCATAAAAAAGTCTAGTTGTAGTAACAGGAACATAGTTATCCAATCAGTATTTTATGATTTACCAGTCTATCATCATTTTTATGAATTTATTTAAAAGTTAGAAATGTTACTGTGAAATTTTCAAAAATTATATTGGATATTGTAAGACTTTTAAAAAATCTAATTACAAACCAATATTTTTTTTAATTTCTGCATGAATACAAGTCTAATGCCGGTATGTGCAAAACATGTATTGGCAAGCTTCTTTAGCTTGAACTCCTGTTGTATCACACCCACATATTAGGAAGTCATCCCAATCCGAAACCAGCCTCAAATGAATTTAACTTCCTTTGCCTTCGAAAAAAAAAGTGTTGAGTTTTTTTTTTTTAAAAGGAAGGATAAAATATTTCCATATTGATATCAGCTAATTAGGTTTGCACTGTGACTAATATTTGTGCAGTTGTACATGAATGCATGGTTTTCAATTGGCATGGTACTGGCTCTTAAAGTCCAGTGGCATCTTTTTGTCTGCCATCCCTGTATTAAATTGTGGGTCCAAGAAATGTCAGAGCTAATCTCAGCTTTAGTTTTATTAGCTATATCTCTGAAAGTGGTGTAACATTTGAAAATTGTTCATTTCCCACCCCTCCTCCCCCCCCTCTCAAGTTCCGTGTCTACCCTATGTGTCAGTCTTTTGGTTCCTGTGACTTTTGGGGAAACCGCTGGTCAGTGTTGGCCGGTGTTGGATAGTGGGAGGATATGGTACTAATGGAGATGCAACTTCTAGTGCTAAGACTGGCCAGGAGAAGGGGCAGTTCTCAGCATGTAGTGAACTAAGCACTGAGAGCAAGGATGTCTTGCATGTTCTAATCATTGTTCTGACACTTACTCTTGCCTTAAGTCACTGAACCTGTCTATCTTTTTATCTTTTTTGCAATATTTAAATGCTTCACAGGGTTATTATCTTTTGTAAAGTACAGCAGCATACAAATGCTAATATAGATTGAACCTCTCTAGTCCAACACACTTGGGACCTGACTGGTGCCAAACCAGAGAATTTGCCAAACTCTGGGAGGTTAGTATTGTCTAGCAGCATTATCAAAAATTCCCATGCTTAGTGGACTCTTAGAAGCATTTGGGGTAAATTAGAGCTAAACAGTAGAGAACACTGAGAGCCAAGACTGGTGGCTGTAAAAAAATAAAAACATAAATTATGGGACTGCGGGAAACCTGGCCATTCCCAGGATTAGTGGAAATCCGGCTAACTAAAACCATGTCAGACCACAGATATAGCCAGACCAGAGAATACCGGACTAGAGAAGTTCAACCAGTGTTCACCAGATGCATATGGATACTTTACAAAATGGGAGCCAGGGGGCACCAATACTTGCAGGTTATTTAGGCAGTTATTCATTGCAATACTTTTCCAAGTGTTGGCATTATGCACATAGCCCAGCACAACCAATAGGGTTCCCTTGATCAGAAAGAGCTTGTTTTTGGCACAGATACCTCCTTAACTCAGATACAAAATGAGTTGATTTCTTGGGATATGAGAATGCTCTCTGATCATCTGCGGAATCCTTAGGCTATCTCTATATATAGTGATATAATTATAACAGACCAGAATCAGTTATATTTTTGAGGAAAACCAAATTTTGAGGCCCTACAAAAATGCTAAGACCACCTCTGACCACAGTAGTACATGACCTAGAATTGGTTTACATGCATGTAATTTCTTGATGTTTTACCTTGTCTAAACATTCGGTTCTCTCTCTTTCAAAACAGTTTTCCTTTTTATAATATGTGAGGTAATAAACCTAATAATTTGTCAACACACAAGTGTAAAATTACTTTTGGCAATATTTCTTACAACTCACTTTAGAAATTGTGGTTTTGTTTTATTGGGCATTAATGTAAAATAAGCTTACTGGGTCACTACATATTTTCTAACGTAGTGGTGAGTTGATCCAGCCTGTGGAGGCCCTGCCGCTACCCTCGCCAGCTGTTCAGAACAGCTGGCGGTTCTCTCTGGTGGGGGGCCAAAGGCTTTGCAGCTCCCCCATGTCCAGACCAATTAAGGTCGTTGGTGGGGAAGCACAGAAGTGTCCTGACCCAGCCCCTTCTGAGGCCATTTCAAAAAGTTTTGAAGTGGCCTCTGGTCAGAAATTATTTCCCACCTCTGATCTGCATCATCCCTGACAGATGTCTATCCAACCTATTCTTAAAAATCTCCGGTGATGGAGATTCCACAACCTCCCTAGGCAATTTATTCCAGTGTTTAACCACCCTGATGGGAAGTCTTCCCTAATGGCCAACCTAAACATCTCTTGCTGTAACGTAAGCCTGTTGCTTATTGAATTTGGGGCCCTTACCGGGGGTGGCTCTCCTTTGATGGTGGGGCAAGCAGCTGTTTCAGCGCAGGCTTTACTGCACTGCGCTCGCTTGCAGGCAATGCCCCCCCACGGCCCCATTGGCTGGGAATCTGGGAGGTGCTGGTCAGAGCCTGCAGGCAAGAGCAGCACAGGGACAGAGTTTCCTGAGGGGACACAATTCCAGCCCAACGCAGAGGGGCATCAGCTCACTCAGATGCCTCCCTTTCCCCCAGCCCCACCTTGGACAGGCAGGGCTGGGTAACACACCCACAAATTTTTTTGCAGGGCCCCCTTTAACCTGGGACCCTAGGTTGCAAGCCCTTAAAGCCCCTTTCTTAATCCAGCTCTGCCTATCGTGGGAATGGCACCCTGGAGCCGGTGCTCACACTCCAGCCCCATGCAGGAGTGGCGAGACTCGGGGCTTCTGGCCTACAACACGGAGAGGGTGAGATCAAATAGAACAGGGGGCCAGAGGTTCCCCACCCCTGCCCTAAATGGCTATATGTCCGTTCTAAAAAGATACAGAACATTTATCCATAGTTTGGGATACTATGTTCTAGAGATTTCATATTTTGAAAGCAGAATACATAAATCCATACACCTTTTCAAACGAATATGCTTTTTCGTCCTAATTATCCTATTTGTGTTCTGTTTGCCTTGTACCTGACCACTGAGTAGCTCTGGTTTGGATGTATTACATTTTCTCAAACACATTACAATCAATGCACACATTTTTACTGTCTCAGATGTTATCAACTTTCCATAACTAGCGTCCAATGTATTATAAACATTTTTATATTAGAAGATTGTTTGTTAATACCTTTTACTGTTATGGTAAATGAGGCTGCAAGGGTCAGTGTCTATAAAACATAAAAGTCAGTGTTTTAACCTTATTTCTAATATCTTGAATCAATAAAGTATTTTAATTAAATGTAATTAGATTTGTGGCATTGAACTTTGAATGTATTGCATTTGTCATAACTTACAATAATTAATATTAAAAAGGGTTACAAAAATTAATTGATGCCTAGTCATGTGGTTCCAGGCTTGTCTTTAGTAAATGAATAACTTTTCAGTTGGTAGTAAAAATACCTATTAAAAGAGATCACATCCATGTGGTACTTAGACTATCTCTGCAGAAAAGCTTGCATGAATGTGTTTTTTTTCTCTAGAAAGGTATTACGTACAAATGATGTGCAAATTGCTATTATGGAAAAGCACAGATACAGCTTTGTACAGATATATAATATGACATACTGCATATGATAGTGTATAAATAAAGTTAGTTACATTATCCTTGTGTGATTGAAGGAGGAAGGTATTGTATTAGCCTGAGATTCCATCTATGATTTTAAAATCTCATCTTACAGACTCTTTGGTTGACTTTTTTTTTTTTTACTGTTTAGTTTCCTTTTTCTGTTTTTGTTTCCTTTACTTGTCTTTTTTCTCTTTTATTCTTTCCTTCCTCCCATTTACTACAGGAGAATCAACGTATGCAGCAGAAAATAGACTCCATAACCAGAGAGGTGTTTGACCTCAGGGAGACAATTAATTGGAAAGATAAAAAAATTGGGGTATGAAATATGGGGGCCAAGGTGGGAAGGAGAATCATTGATTTAGAAATAGACTGGTATTGTTAGAGGATTCTGGACAGTCCAAACAAATGAAGGCCATGTATATTTTAGTCTCTTAAACACAGTTGCAATCTGATATTTATGATGTAGACTTCTCCACTGGAACAAAAGAAGCTCTACTTCATGTTACTTAATTTCACTTACATGTACTGTGGGTGAAACAGATAACATTTTATCTTTTTTAGAAATAGATTGTGAATGTGAGATTAGCCATACTAAAATAAAACCATAGGAACCATAAGGAATTTAAAAATTTAACTGATTAACTGGTAAACATTGCCTTACTGGCATGCTTAGCAGGGTAACCGGTTAACTGCTGCCCTGCTGGGCTGTAGCAGCCTCCCATCCACAGTACAGTGTGACGGATTCTGGCTGTGTCCACCGTGCATAGCCATGTGCAGGGAACAGCTCCAGTTCCCCCTACCCACCCACAGTGCAGCCGGTGGTTAACCAGTTAAACCTTTTACATGAGATTTTTGCATCCCTAGGATCCATCTAGTGAGTTGTCATATGCCTAGCAGGAGCCAGTGCCTGATACATCACGAAAAAAATGAAAAATATATAACCACCTATCCATTTTGAAAATAAAAATTTTAGGATGTTGAATTTACTGTGGGTGGGTGGGTTCTCCTAAGGTATAGCCTTCTCTGCCCAATTGCTTTTACTTTTGAAAGCTGTCCAAAATGCACCTTCATACATAGATTACCTTGAAAATAGCTTTGCCACTTCATGATCTCAGGTAGACTTTGGGGAGAAAATTTTGGGATGTTTGTTCAAGGGAATTCTGAGGCAAAGCTTCCTTCTTCCAAGTGACCTGATTTTAATTAATAAATTGCTCTACAATGCACTTGCAGAGCTCAGTTGTCAATATTTTTCAGGACAGTTAAGGGTATGTCTAGACTACTTTGTTTTTTTGAAAAAACTGCCCTTTTTTCGAAAAAAAATTTCATCTGCATCCACACTGCAGATGCAGGGAAATTAAATCGAAAGAACGCAGGGGTTTTTTCGACATTGGTAAACTGTAAATTACGAGGAAGAACACCTTTTTTGAAAGAGCTCTTTCAAAAGCGTGTGTGGATGCAGAATAGGGACATTTTTTGAAAGAAGAGGCAATCAAAACACAGGTGCACTAGTGGCCATTCTGTGAATAGCAATCAGGGCTTTCTTTCGAGAGAGCATCCATGCAGTCTGGACGCTCTTTGGAAAAAGCAGATCGCTTTTTCGATCTGGTTTTGAGGTGTGGATGCTCTCTTTTGAAAGAAGTTTGCAGTCTAGACGTACCCTAAGATGGACTGTGGAAGAAGTAGTTGTACAGATTTGGTTTTACATTCTTGTGGGAAGCATGAGTGAGAGAACCACCCCTACCTCTTTTACTAAAGGTTTTGGTAGTTGAATGTTCCCAATTTTTATTGCTAAACCTGTAAGGTGGTGTGGAGGCAGAGTTATGGTTGTGTGCCTCTGCTGTTGAGAACTGTAACAGAATATTTCAGCATTGGTGTTTTCTTTCAATGCTAACCTTCTTACCTCATGTATGTGGGGAAAGCTTAACTCTGCATTTCCTGTTTTGTCAATGATTTGGATTTGGGGAATTAAACTCTTATGTTCTATAAAGTCACAAGGAGTCCTAGGAAGTGCTGAGTGCATACAACCTAGCTCCATATTTTAAGGACTCTTTTGCACATGAATAACTAAATTGAGATATATAACAATGTATATTAAAATATATGTTAAACAGAAAGCTGATAATTTTACACTTTAACATACGCAATAAACATTGTTTATTCCTTTAAATTGCAAGGAATATAGTTTTGAGTGCATGCTTTGGCACTTGGTGCACTGGCTAGTAGGCATTAGGTAAACTTTTCAAGCCCCAATTAAAACATTTGTAGATTTTAAAAAATAAGGGTCTTGACTTTACATTTATAATTTTAGTCCTAGAAAACTAGTGTGCCTGGGGAAACAGATACGTAATTTTTTTAAAAATATCTTGTATTTATTAGAGACTGGCTGCTTAGACCATTCCAATATTCTTTTAGTATGCAGTGCTTAAAATTGTCACATTTTCTGTCTATGAAGTACAGTTCAACTGCATGTACCACTTATTCCTTTTGAAATAAATAAATGACCATAATAGTGCATTATAAAATGTTGTCCTTTCCCTAGAAACTATAAGAATTAAAATACAATCAATATCCAGTAGAACATCAGACTTACAAACACCAGAGTTGACCAGTCTACCACATATCTCATTTGGAACTGGAAGTACACAATCAGAGAGTGCAAAAACAAAAATAAAAAATATAAAATACATTACAACACTGTATTAATAATAAACTATTAAAAATAAAGGGAAGGCAGCATTTTTCTTCATAGTAAGGGGCTCATCTAGACTACGTTAGTGTTGAAAGAGGGTATGCAAATTCCACAGGATTTCACTAATACCTGTGGAATTTGCATATCCTCTTTCGACACTCTAGTGTAGTCTAGATGAGCCCAAAGTTTCAAACAGTATTAAGTCAATATTCAGTTGTCAACTTTTGAAAGAAAATCAGCAGCGTTTTGTTCAGAGTTATGAACAACCTTGACTCCTCAGATGCTTGTAACTCTGAAGTCCTATTATAGTAAATTTAAGAAATGGAGAAAATATTATGTGAAGCTCTTTACCTTCATTTCTTCCTTTATATCAGTCTATTTCTAAATATCCATGCATGACATAATGTTTGTTAGATGAGTTCTGGGCAAATGTGTGTTTATCTTATTTGGCATTATTTATAATGCTGTTGTTGCATATTCAGGATTATTTATAGTGCATGTAGTAATTAACTTAAATAGAATATTAGAGTGCTGCCTAATTGGTTGAGAATGCCTCTCTGGATAACATAGCTGTATGAGATTGTTGTGTTTTGTGTATGTGACCCCTTTTGTGTTAATGTAGTATTGTTAGTGACACATTTTTCTTAGTTTTGTGGTTCTAAAAATGTTTTAGTCTGTTAGTAACCAGTTGGGTAAAATATTTATTCAAGTAACAGAAGTAGATATTTATAAATTGATAAAAGGTACCAAAATATATAGCCTTAAATTGTAAGATTTCTACTCTATGCACCTGTAGAAGTCAGAGTACTTAGTGTAACAGATGTGGTATTCTCTTGTCTCAGGCCAAAATCCTTGGGGATTTAATTGGTAATCAGAAGACTGGAGTCTTGACTGTTCAGTAGCTGTGTCGTAACCTGTTGAGTGGCAATATGCAATTATTAGCAAAGAAAATGTATAATTTGACTGATATAGAAATTTTTCTTAAAGTTATAGGCAGGTATTTGTGAAACTTAACCCAAGCATGTGTTTGTCAAGATACCTTATGACTAAGTTGTTCCCGCTATGAATGTTTTCTAGGATAATTCAGTTAGACAATTATGCAGAAATAGTCATTGCAGAGATTGCCTTAAAATGGACACATTGGGAAGAACTATATTTATTTTGGTATACAATTTAATTAATCGAATGGTTGGATTGTATATTCTGCCAATACTAATATAGATAGATAGCTTCACAACAAGCATGTAGCGCTGAGGTAAAGATATGTCTGTACAAGGTAGCTATTGAATTGTGCGTATTTTATATTCCCCTTCTCCTTTCTTTACGTTTATTCATCTGCTTGCCTTATTAGTATAATATCTCTCTACTGCCTATCACATTGCTTTCTCTCTGTGCCATTCTTTTTCTTGCTATCTGCCTGTACGCAGGCCCTAGAAAGACAGAAAGAGTACTTTGACTCCATTAAGAATGAGCGCGATGAGCTCAGAGATGAGTTGGCCGACCTGAAGGAAACAATGAAGACAGGAGAGGTATGTCAGTAGCAGTGTTATACAGTAGAACAAATACAGAAATGGGGGATCAAACACAGTCAACACAAAACAGAAAGCAGTATGTTACTGCTCCAGTACATCCCAATAAAGGTTTGGCTCTGGTAATGATGTAAGTAACACTGCTTGGTCCAAATATTGACCAAAACTCCAATCCTCACATATGTTAAATGAAACATTTCCATTTGGTGTAACTATTTCAGTCAAGTTGAAAATGCTTCTGAAAATGTATTGAGATAGGAAAAAGTTTCCTTTGTATGAGTGAAAGTCCTTTTATTTTTTTTCAGAAGCACGGGTTAGTTATAATCCCAGATGGTACACCAAATGGTGATATAAACCATGAACCAATGATTGGTACAATAGCAGTTGTATCACAGGAAGCTGCTCAAGTCTTGGAATCTGCAGGAGAAGGACCATTAGGTAAAAAAAATACTAAATACATGTGGTCTTTTAAAGCTTCTACGGGATTTTTGTTCGCATCCAAAATTGTGACTTTGGAGCTACACAAAGATATTTTTGTTATTTATGAAATATGTGCCATTGCTAAGATGAATGTTCTTATCTTTATGTAACTAATTTAACAGCATATTTGTTTACTGTAAAAAACTGCAGGTGTAATGACACTTGCATTTAGTTAATTTTAATGGTCCATTTTATTGTTTTTGAGAATTTCAGAGCAGTCTAAAAAATCTAGTTAGATAAAAACTATTTGGATAAAAATGCAAAATTAGCAAAGTGTTTTAATAAGTACACATTTTCTTATGAAATAAGTGTTTTTAAAAGCATCAACTATTTAAAGAGCCCATTTGTGAAAGAAATCATATTTAAGAAATTGGTTCAAGAAAAATATTGTCCTTTCTTTTGAAATATTTTATGCTGTATTCATGAAAATTGATCACATCTCTTAATTGCTTAGAATAGAAAGGTTTGCCCCAGTTCCAGTTAGCATAGTCAAACAGCTATGTGGACAAAGTTAAGATTTTGATCCCAGGCTCCTGGTTAATTTGTTCCTAGCTAAACTGCACAAATTAAATATTCATTAAAGGCAGTCCCCAGGTTACATGGATCCGAGGGTGAGGCAACCCCGCACTAGCTGCTTCCCCCCAGCAGACCAGGGAGACGCGAAGCTAGTGTCCCCCCCGCCCAGCAGACCAGGGAGAGGTGGAGCGGCTTTTCTCAGCAGACACTTCAGCTTGAGAATAAAGGGCTGAGGGAAGTGAGGTGTGGGAGAATAAAACTGAGCTCTGGAGAAATGTTTGGCTAGAGTTTCCCCTACAATATGTACCAGTTCCGACTTACATACAAATTCAACTTAAGAACAAACCTACAGTCCCTATCTTGTACGTAACCCGGGGACTGCCTGTACTTAATACACAAGGAATATCCTTATGTGTTGGTATATGTATTTTAAATAGAAGACTAATTTTTTTGTTTTAAACCATGTATTTAATACATAATACTTCCCAGTCACGTTGAACTTGAAAGTCAGAATTGTTGTTAATTGGTATTTCTGATGCATTATTGCTTTGCTTTACATTATTTTTAAAATAATTCTGTAAGAAACTGAAAATTTGCCAGTCTTATTCTGATTTTAGTACTGACTGAGTTTGGAAGGTACAGTCTCATAGTTAATGATATTCTAGATGAGTTAACTTTCATTTTAGCTTCAGTTTAGACACTTATCCCAGTAGCTGTTCATTTGTATTCTGGTAACACAACAAAAGTATTCTACAAACATAGAGAGGCACAGTCCTTACTTTTAAGAGCTTACATTCTGAAAGATGAGAGGGAAATAAAGGGCTGTGACAAGGAGTACATTTACAGGTAAAGTAGTTAAAACAGTAACTGGCCATATCTTGAGTATTTTTAAGAAATGGAAGAGGGTTTTGTTTTATTAAATGTATAAATCATCTTCAGTTGTCCCTCAACCATTCATTAAGTACCAGGAATTGCTTGTCTCGGATATCTTTATTCCTGATTATTTTCTTAACATTTTTATATATTAAAAAGTTATTACCTTTTCATCTGTTACAAAGATATATTTGAACTGCATGTTGAGAATATAGTGATGTATTAGAAGTATTGATGTTTGCCACTCTTTAGACAATAAAAAACACAATAAACCATAACAACTCAGATTGCCATTTTTAGCATGTCATTAAATTCAAGTTCTTATTTTTTTAGCTTAATGAAAATTAATAAAATATGTTTTTGGTTTTAAATCCATCTAGTTTTTAACTGAGATCCTCTTTGGTTCTTTTAGATGTTCGGCTACGGAAACTGGCTGGGGAAAAAGAGGAATTACTGTCACAGGTAGTAAAGATGTGGTTTTTTACCCCATAAATACTCTGTAAAGGGATAGTTTACATTTAATAAAATGTCCCTGAAAAAAGGTTAGTACATTAATAATAAATAAAAAGCTACTAATCCTTTTTGTACAACAAACTAAATCAAAGTATTAGCTTTAATAAAACTTTCCAGCATTGTAGGTGATGAGCCAAAAACTACTATACTCCTCTCTGTGTTGCCTTGAATATAATGAACTTGGTCTTACGCAATAGCTAGAGTGGTGGATTCTTCAAGCTGTCTCCCTTATGGTTATTTTAAGTGGTCCTAGATCTAAGTAAATATGAATCTTTGTAAGATACTTCCTAACTATCCTTTTTGTTAACATTGTGTTGTGTAACTCATTTGCATCTTATCAGTACAGATCATCATTGAACAGTGATGGTATATCAAATGAAGTAGCTATTTATTCAGTCTCTCATTTCCTTTTATAAAGGGAAAAAAAATCAGAAGTTACTAAAATCTAGCATAAGGTTGGGAGTCATTTTTGCACAGTACCACTCTGGGGCTACGTCTAAGCTGCAGGCTTCTTTGAAAAAACTTCTTCCGAAAGAGAGCATCCACACTGCCAAAGTGCATCGGAAAAGCGATCTGCTTTTTCGAAAGTCCATCTCGCATTTAAGCCGTGATTACTATGGATGGAGTGGCCACCAGGGCACCTATGCTTTTTTCCTCTTTCCTTTTCTTTTGAAAGAATTCCCTCTTCCCCGTCCACACGCCGTTTTCTGAAAGAACTCTTTTGGAAAAAGGCTTCTTCCTCGTAGAAAGGGGTTTACTAATGTCAGAAAAACCCCTCAGTTCTTTTGATTTTTTTCAAATAACGCGATTGCAGTGTGGACATAAGTCAAGGATTTTTTCCCCGAAAAAACTCTGTAGTGCAGACATAGCCTGACTGACTTGAGAGACAGCAGAAGCTTTTAATGCAGTTTAGCAGCTAGAGAAAAGTAGGTGGTTGGTAACCAGAAAGTGACTACTGCACTACCAGCAGGGGTTCCACTGACGACTAATCCAAAGACCACAATTTGTGAACTTGTGGTCTAGGGAAAGGTACAGAGTTTAAATGCACAGAACAGAGATCTAGCCATTCTTGGCAGTCTTTGTTTTCATTGCATGTGAGCCAAATATCTTTTTAATATATAGATGAATATCAAATAAATAACTAGCTGCTTTGGGCTCAAGCCAAAAAAGAAGCCAAATATTGGCTAGACCATTAAAGATACAGTTATTAGAGCACAATAGCTGTAAAAGTCATTCTGTTTTAAAGTGGTTTATGTACACTGTTTGTGGAATTCATACCCCCCCTACACCACTACACTGAACTTTGGAGGAATTGTCTAGTGGTGTAGAATAAAGATAAGAGCTGTTATCTTCATCAGCACCCATTAAAGGGATTGTGTCTGGGGATTTCTTACATATTGATGAACCTCTGACTGCTGAAAGAATCTGTAAGAACTGGTGACATGTAATGGAAAGTTGAGACTAGTCTAGTGCTGCACACTGGACCAGTTTGACCAACATCTCTGGGAAAGAGGGAAGAAGTACCTCATAACAATGGCTTTGCCCTGGTATTCCTTTGCATATGCTAGGATCTGAGCCATACATTTTGTAAACTTTTAGAAATGTAAAATATATACATGAAAAATTCCATGCACAGACCTCAGTTGGCACCTCATGCAGGGAATCATGATGGGGAAAATGTTTTGTGGTCACAGTAAAATTTCCAGTAACTTACTCTTCATAATATGACTTTTTTATTTCAGATTAGAAAACTGAAGCTGCAACTAGAAGAGGAACGACAGAAACATTCTAAAAATGATGGCACAAATCGAGATATAACAGGATTAGAGAATGGTTCTGATTTGCAGTTAATTGAAATGCAGAGTAAGTATACTAGGGATGTAAAATCCTGTTTAATTGGCTAACTGGTTAAATGTATTGTTTAACCTGTTAATTGATGTAAAGGAGGGCGAGCAGGTATTGGGGGACTTCTCCAGTGTGGCTGGAGTGGCCCTCCCCACTGCACTGCTGAGTTGGAATGCTACCTCTCCCCCATCCCCTGCTGCAGGCTGGGGCTGCTCCAGCCTGGCTAGAGAAGCCCCGGCTTTGGCCTCCTATGCTCCTTTTTCCTGCTGGTCAGAACAGCCCCTGCCTGTTGCGTGCCTGGGCCCACTGCAGGCAACAACTATGCTGGAGCACCCCCTGTCTTCGGCAGGTCCCCTTACCCACTACAGGTCTGGAGCAGCCCCCTGCTCTCAGCAGGCAGGGAGCTGCTTGAGTTCCACCAGTTAACCTTAACCAGTAAGACTCTCCCGTTAAGGATGAGGCTTACCAGTTAAACCTTCATATCCCTTAAGTATATGTTAACTATATACAGATATTCATAGAGAAAATAAACCAATTTGTGTTTATTTTCTGGATATTTGAAGGATGGGTGCCCTTCTTTGGTTGTGAGAATCACTTACCTATTGAAAATGTATCTTGTGTTTTTCATTGGGGCTTTCTGATAACTATTTTCATTCCCATGTCATCTTAATGATTAAAAAAGCATTATCAACAGAGTACAGGATTTTAAAATTATTTTTACTGGAAGATTTCCTCTCAGTGCATTCCTCAGTATACAATAGTTAATAAAAGGTCCCCGATTTCTTTGAAGCTTAATAAAACTTATGTCAAGTTATTTTTTTCTTAGTTGACACTTCACCTATCTTTGATATTATTTGCCAAATTTCATTAGGTTATAGAATTTCACCTGAATTATTTTACTAGTATTTTCCTCTGGTTTCTTGCTTATTATGTTGAAGCTGTGATCCATTAGCTCAATCTGAAAAGTGCTCTGCCACTATCTGGAGCAAACAAAATTATTAAAATCGGCCCTAATGTTCAGTTTCACTTCATACAAACTGACCACACTAGCTTAAGTCCAAGCAAGCGAACTGTTTGTTTCTCCCTAGCTGTCAGCATGTATGTGGAGCTCCTAGTCATTAACAGGACAGTCGTTTGAGAGATGTGCCAAAACTATTTTAAGCTGAGTGTTCATGTATGGAATACTATGTCAGTTGACAGTTTCTGAGCAGTACCACCAGAAATGATTTGCAAACCAGCAGAACATTCTTACTCTTCCTTCTTAGATTTGTCTTGTCAAGTTTTATGTGGGAAGCCTACCAGTTTGGGCTTGAGCTTAATGTTCAGTTGCAGCAGATATCACTCGCTCACACTCAGCTCTATACAGAGACATTACTTCAGAGAGGTAGAGACATATAGGGTTCCTACCTGGAGCTCCTCGCATACCTTCACAAGATGTTATACTTGGTTCAGTCTTCTGTTGTATATACAACTATAGGGACAAGAGTCAGCTATCACATCTGTGTCCTTGTAAATACCTTTTATTTGAACACTGCTTGGTAATCTCCCATGTGGAGTACAGGTAGTGGCCATCACTGGAAGAAGAAATGGAAGTTACTTACCTATAACTGGAGGTTCTTTGAGATGTGTGGTCTCTCTTTCTGTTGCCTCTCACGGATTATCTGGGTTTGGAGCAGAGGAGAGCTATAGCACGTGTGTGAAACAGTTGACATGGCTCAATAAAAATATTCCAGACTCGGTTATATGGTGTACATGTGTGTTCATGTATGGAATACTGATGTGTCTACATACTCAACTTCCAGTTCTAGATAAATAACCTCTGTTTCTCAGTGGAGTTATATTTCACGTTCATTTGAATTAAAATAGACTTGTCTATTAATGACACTTGAAGAAATTAATTAATATCTGATTTTATTTAGGAGATGCCAACAGACAAATAAGTGAATACAAATTTAAGCTTTCAAAAGCTGAACAGGATATAACTACCATGGAACAAAATGTAAGTGTATCTTTCTTTTAAATTGTTTATATAGTAAACTAGCAGGTAAGGCCCACTGTTCACGGGGCAGAGTCATTTTGCATAGATTACACTTATAGGAAAATTCAAGAAATTAAATATATGTAATAGAATTTTTTATTAATGTGCTTGAAAAAGTAAAAGAACAGTTTTAAATTTGTAGGATTTCAACTTCAAACATTATTCATTTTATTGAATAATTACCATACATAGTAAATTTGAATAGGATTTGTAAAGCTTCCATTACTCTTTTCGTGATTAATTTGAATGATTAGTAATAGTAAAAATTTTCTTTGCACTAAAATGACAGTTGAATAGGTGACTCAATTTTAATGTTGTTAGCAAATATTTGTATGAATTCTAATCATATTAGTCATGACTTTTTTCTGATGAGAAACAAAATTATTTAAACCTTTCACCCAGTGTATTCCGGTGTAAACAGTAGTGCATTTAGTTAATTTAAGTGACAGGATTGTTTATGCAAAATTTGGTATCTGTAGGTAATTGCAAAGTATGACTTTATTTTACACAAACAAATCCACAAGCTTTTCAAAATATATAATAGATTTAAGTTAGTGATTTTTATGCATGGTATTTTTATGCACTCTAATTACAAGATCATTTTTCTCAGATGTTGTAAGTTTCATAATTGGTGGTACTTATCTGTTCTGTGATTCACCATAATGACTTTACCAGCAGCACTAAGTTCAAACACATGTTGCAATTTCCTTACAAATCAGTATTTCTTCATAACCTCACCATAAAAGAAAATGCACACATTCATAGTGTGAGATTAATTTACTAAGACCACCACCATATTGCAGAAAATAAAAAAAAACCTGAAATTAGTTTTTTTACTGTGTAAACTGAATTGCCTTCTTAAAATACTGCCTGGGAAAAATGTATCTCCCTAAGTCAAAAGTACCGATAATAAAATATTCTTGTGTAGTAAACAAAGCAGTAATTTATTTTAGGAATGCTTCTATGTTCCCATAGTTTATCAAGAGCAAAATAATGGAATGCTTTGAGAGTGAATTAGAATGTTTCAATAAAAGGGTATTACTTCAGCAACTTGGCAAATAATTCAGTTACACAGTGCAATTCTGTAACTGCTTTTTATCACTCTATGTATTTGATTTCATTACTCATGAATTGTAGTAGAATATTAACAGGTCATAGTGTTACCAGAAGATTTGAACCCAATTACACTGAACCAATGAGTTTGCCTAAAACAATGCTTTTCAATTTCAAAACATTCTATTCTTAAATTTATTTATTCAGGTATTCAAGGTTGTGGTCCATCCTACATATTTTACAGGAAAAAGTTGCTAATTAAATCCAGATAACTTCCCCATTGAAGGACATAAATGCAGCGTTTCAGGCAAGAATAGATAAGTAAAAAATTCTTTGAAAACAAAAACATGTATTTAGGAGTGAGATTACAATAAAAGAGTAGATGTTCCAGTTACAGTTTAAAGGAAGCAGTGCCATAAAATAAAAACATAACGCTGCAGTAAAAATTTCACTTTAACATATAATAGTCTAACAGAATATTAAGGAAAAGATTATACTAACTTACTACAGTATACAAACATATAGCAATATGTCAGTTAAATGTTCAACTTTAAATCTTTCAATACTCAAACAGTGAATGCTTTGTTATCTGGTACTTTGTTAACCACCAGTGCCCCCAGCCACAGTACCACCATGTCTTCAGGCGTGCATACCTGACTCCCATCTGTCCAGCCAGCCTGTTGTAGGGCTTCTGACTATTGGCATTGCTGGCTGATGTCATTAGCAAGTGCCTCCAGCTGCCAGGAGCTGGATCTGCCACTATGGGGCAGAGCAATAAGCTTTGTTATCTGGAACATTCAATTAACTGTCAACCCCCAGTCTTCATGAGTGCCGGATAATAAAGCTTTCACTATACTTAACATTAAAACATTCCATAAGAGCTGATCAGATAATCATTACATGGATAAGGGAAGATCGCATTCAGAACTCAGGTATTCAGCTTTATTTACAATTGAAACCCATACACTCTAGGATGATAAACAGAAAAAGATTGTAACTTCTATAGGTAGTCTTAAAATTCCCTCTAAATCATCATAGCCAGTCCTTCTGTTATGTTAAAAGGTTGGGTGTGGTGTTTAGAGAACATGGTCTTGAAATCTGATGATGGATGCTTGCTTCTGAGGTAAAAGCTACTAAATGTTGCCCTCCTCTTGCAACAGTTGCTACTACTAGGCTGCTCTGTTGGCCTCCTACTGGCCAGGTGCCAGGAGTAGCCAGTGCTAAGGCAAGCTTAAGGTAGGGATGGACTGACGATGGTGCTGCTGCTGTTACAGTAGTTGGTTTTCAAGCAGCTCTTCATTTGCTGGAGCTGCTGCCACTGTTCCACAGGTATTGTCTTCCTTTCAGGTGTTCAGCAGCATTCTACTCTTCTGCTGGTTCCTATTCCCTACAGAGTTGTAGCCTATCAGCTGCTGCCCTTATATACAATGTGAGCTCATTATATAATTTATTACAGTCAGCTTGTAGATGAATTATGACGTTTTCACTTATTATCTGTATCATGTGTACCTTACATGTGATTTGAAGCCCAATTCATTTCTATGGACTCAATGCATTCCTCTGGAATTTTTCACCTGATCTTTAGAGGAATCCTAGCTATTTCATGTCTAGAAATCACATTTGTTTTTATAGGCTACAACAGTGATATTCAGACTGAGTCACAAGTGGCTCTCTGATGCATCTCAAGGTTTTTTGCAGCACATAAAAAACCAGGTGTAGAGCTTTCCTGTCCATTGTACTGGATCCCACAGTTTGGGGAGTCTCAGGCGTGCATACCTGACTCCCATCAGCAGCAGAGGGAGCCACAGCAATCTAGATGGGTCTGCTCCGCTTCTCCATCTCTCGGATGGGTTGCTCCGCTTCAGTGTAGCAGCAGGAACCTGAGTGCCCCGGCCCACTTTGCTTCCCCAAGTGATGCAGACAGGAGCTGGGCTTGGTCGCTCTGCTTTCCATTACTGTGGGCAGGGGCGCAACCCCTGTTGCCCGCACCAAGTCCCCCCAGTAAGCTCCCAGGTCACCTCTCTTGAGAGAGGAGGCTTGGGGAAAGAAGTGCAATGGAGGTGGAACAGAGGTGGGTCTTGGGGGTTGGATGGTGGCAGAAACAGGTGGGCCTGGAGCACTGAGAGGATAGTTTTGTGGCCCAAACCTCCCTAGAGACAGCCATGACAATGTGATTTTATTTTTAAACAATTTAAGTTATTAACCATTTTACTATGAAGTTACCAATTTGCATTAAGTTAATAACTAACTTCCTGGGTATGTGTGTGCATAAATATAAATTAAAAACTAAAAAGTATGGTGGGTTATATTTAAATATGAATAGTATTAGAATAAATAAAATAATGAATTGAAACTCCTGGCTCTTTTGGGTAATGAACCACTGAGGTCTGAGTATCACTGCGTTAGTGTATTCCCCACAGAAAGTGATGCAATCCCTATTCATTTCTATGGGCTCACATGCGTTGCTGTGGAATTTTCCAATATATCATGTAATCCTTTAGCTGCCATTACTCTGTTTCCTAATTTAAACTATTTAGATTTGTTCTTGTACAGTTAACATTTTTTAATAATTTTGGCAAATTTCAACTGCTTCTGACATTTTCCTCCAAATAGTATCACTTTAGAGCAGGGATGGGCGAACTATTCAGTCCATCAGACATTTCAGTTTGGTCAGGGAGCGGGGTTCAGAGATGTGCGCGGTGTCTGTGCAGCTTCTAGAAGCAGGAGCATCCAGGAGGTGAATGAGAACTGGGGGAGAAGTGCCTGGAGCTGGAGGCAGGTAGACCACTGCTTCCAGGGGCCATTACAGGCAAATGTCACCCGGAACCTGCATCTTTGACCCCACTGTCCCAGAGCTGATCCCCCCTTCCACACTCCAAACCCTTCAATGCCAGTCTGACACACCTCCCTGCATCCCAAACCCCTCAAGCCCAGCCAAGAGCTCCCTTTGGCCCTCCACATACCTCAAGCCCAGCTCAGAGGCCACCCCCTGAAGGCTTCATTTCTGCCCTACCCCAGGGCCTGCATCCACAGCCAGCACTCTTACCCTTTCCCCAACCCTCAATTTTGTGAACAGTATGCCCTTTGTACAATTGCCATACTAAGTTGTGGCCTTCAAGCCAAAAAGTTGCCCACTCCTGATTTAGAGCCTAATAAGGCATTTTAGGCAACTGAGGCAAAAATCTCCTATCAGAGTAACTCTTGCATACAAACTAGAGAGTATGAATCTGTTTTAAAGAAGGAATGCGAATGGTTAACCAATAAACCTCACCTTTAATGGGTGAGGCGTACCAATTCTGGTAGGGGCTGGAGCAGCTCCCCCCCCACCGCAAGCAGGGGCTGCTCCAGCTGGTCAGAGAAGCCACTGTCTGTGGTGGGCCCAGCCCAGGGGACACACTACAACCCCTGGCCCATTATGTTTCCTCTCTCTTGTTTACATGTACAGTGGAGTCCGGATTAACCAACACCGGGTAATCTGACACTCCGCTTTATCTGACCCTGCAGCTCCCGGGGACTTTGTCTCTGGGAGCTGCAGGGTCAGATAGAGCGCAGGCCGAGAGAACGGCCCCGCTTGCTGCCCCATCGCTCTCTAGGAGAAGCTGCTGCTCCGCGCCAGCAGCAGCAGGTTCTCCTAGAGAGCAAGGAAACAACTGATGCCGCTCCTGCGGGGGATGTCCCCAGCAAGAACGGCATCAGTTGTTCCCTTGCTCTCTAGGAGAAGCTGCTGCTGCTGCATGGAAGCATCCCAGCAGCAGCTTCTCCTAGAGAGCAAGGGAACAGCTGGTGCTGCTCTGTGGGGACTTCGTCCCCGGCAGGAGCGGCATCAGCTGTTCCGTTGCTCTCTACAGTGGAGTTTGTATCATCTGACATATTCGGTAATCTAACCATGTGTTGGTCCCCTTTAGGTCGGATAGGGACTCTAGTGTATTTTGTCTGATTTTCATTTTCCTTTGTTTTCTTCCTACAATCTTGTCTCCATTTCTGTGCTGCTCTACTCTATTTT